CTACTACTACTACTACTTCTGCTAGGGATTACTAGTGCCTTCTACTTCTATGACGACGACCACTACCACCACTTTCCTCCTAAGCCCAGCCCCAAGGATGGCTTGGAACGTAAGCATTCATTGCTGTTACGTGCGCGGAGCAGTTCGGCGGCTCATGGCCGGTATGGAGTGTTGCAGTAATGGGAAGGGAGTGGGTGGTAACTTGTGTAACCTACTTAAGCCTCCGACGCTTTTTTGATCTGAAGCCTGAACCTTGTAACCTGGACGCTCAGTTTAAGGATAACTTACCCGCATTATTGGCCTCGGCTGCTGCTGCTTGTTGGAACATGGGTCTTCTTCCCGAGATGCGATGTTGGAAGGAGGAAAAAGCCTGTTGTCCTGGGGCTGTTGAAGTCAACTCTTTAGGCCTAGGCAGGGCTTAAGATTTCGGATTTGGGCCGTTTCAAGCAGGAGTTCGTTTTGTAGGGAGTGTGCACCTTCAGCAATAAACAAAGCGCTGTTGTCTGTGAGGCAGTGTGGTTTTAAGTGATCAGGCATGCCAGAACTCCAAACCCCGATCTGCCTTAAAGGGGACCCTTCTTAACCCTGCCCTACCTATGCTCTCTTCAAAGGGACCTTATTGAGAGGGTCCATATCCCCAAGGGTCCCTAAGGCCCCCGATGCCTACTCGTAACACCAATACCCTGGCACTGTGCTGATATCTAGGCGAGCCGCTTCTGCTTCGGCCAGGGGTCTGCAGTGCGCATGATAGTGACTTCGTCTTGCGGTTGGGGCTTCGGGTTTAGAGTGAAAGAGTTTAGACTCTTTGGGCGTGTGCCAGGGAAAGATGCACGTGCCACGATGAATGTCCCCGCTGGAAGCAAGTTCCTTCTCGAGGAGGCCCAAAGCTCTGAAGCCATGTTCAGCCCTTCGGGGAGGCAACCGAAACCCTACCTTACCTCAGCAGCAGAGTTGGTCCCTTAGGTAACGATTAACATGTTTGGGGGTACCATAACCCCTATATACTCCCAATGGGTCACCTTCAGCTCCCTTGCAATACTGGACAAGAAGGGTAAGCCCTGTTGACTCGATCCCGAAGAAAGCCTAGGCGCGTCTGGTGCTCGGCATACGACGAGCTTTACCGCAGCCCGGAACTCAGTTCAGGGGCCTAAATCATTACTTAAGTTTGTGCTTAGGGTTCCTTGTTATAACACTACTTCAAAGGAGCCCACAACGTTTTTCTAACTATTAAGGCCCCTACATGATGCGCACCGATACCCGGTCTGAGAAAGGGATGGGATACCGGTTAGAGAAGCATGTTGTATGAGCTGGGCTGATGGAACAAAGTGTGCTCGTTGGGAAAGTGGGTGAGGCCTGTTTCCGTTTTCTTCCTGCCGGAACCTTTTAAGCCGTCAAAATCTAAACCCTAAACCCTAAATCCAAAATTCATCTCTCAGGCCGCTTGGCCGTCAAGAACTTGCTGAAGGGCACTGGAGGCAGCTGGCGGCTCGAAGAGGGTTTGCAGTTTCAGGATTTATAAGTTTATAAGCTGAAGGTTAGGGTTCAAGGGTTTACAGCTTTTGTAAGGTGGCTTTAGGGTTTGAGGTTTTGGGTTCAGGGTTAAGGGTGTGTAGGGCCTATAGGGTTTGTAAGGTTAGTGGCTTCAAGGTTCGATTAGGGTTAATATTATTATATACAATAAAATTAAAAAATATAATGGTTATTAATCCAACCAAATGAGAATTATGTACTAATATATAATATATGATTGGTGTAGGGGTTTTATTTTTTAAGGCTGGGCTCCGAAGAGGAGAACTCAGTGCAGTCACCACTAAGTAGGAGTTGCAGGCAGGATTTCAGAACCCTAAACCCTAAACCCTAAACCCTAAACCGGTGTTTCTTTGAGGCGGGGGACTCCTTGGGGCGAAGCGTCCGTCGACTTTTTTTGGATTGACAGAGTTGCCTATTTTCCGTCTCTCCTCCATAGGTGTTAGGAAGTTTAGGGTTTAAGGGTTTAGGGTTTTAAATGTTCCTTCAAGGGGATCTGTAAGGGATCTAGGAGGGGTTTAGGGCTTTTGGGCCATGAGTTCTATGGTTGATATCGAGTTTGGATGTCCATCGTAGCTCAGGGACGCACGAGTCGACTGCGGTACCTGGACCTTGAATGCCCCAGGGCCGAACAGAGCAAGCCGCGGTTTGTCGTGACTTGTACCGTGGCACGGGCGCCATCTCATTCTGACACCAAGAGAAATTTAACAGTTAACCACGTGAGACTTGCACACACGTACATGTGTGTCTTTGCATAGGTATGTATATGTATATATATATATATATACATATAAATATATGTACGTATGTATGTATATACACACAAGTATGGTGTATGTGTATACACACACACGCAGTCACCCACACCTACTCGTACACACAAACACCCGCATGCATACGTTTCAGTGCTCGCTGAACCCCAAACCCTAAACCCTAAAACCTAACCCTGAACCCCAAGCCCTAAGCCCTTAACCCTAACCCTAAACCCCAAGCCGTAAGGCCTAAACCCTATAAGCCCTAAATCCTAAACCCTAACCCTAAACCCTAAATCCTAAACCCCAAACCCTAACCCTAAATCCTAAACCCTAAACCCTAAACCCTAAACTGAATCCCAGAAGCTCGGGCCGCCAGGTGCCTGGTGCAGCGTGGATGTGGAGTCTGGCGCGGGACCTTGTGGGGGTTTAGGGTTTAGGGTTTAGGGTACGGTTTAGGGTTTAGGGTTTAGGGTGGGTTTAGGGTTTAGGGTACCCTTCAACCCGAAACTCCCTAAATCCTAAATGTCTTAGTACCTGTGGCCCAAAAAACCTACTTTTTTAAGAACTTTATATATAGAAACCATAGTAGGGAACCCTAAAAAGGTAGGTTTTCTCGGCTACAGGTAGGGTTTAGGGTTCAGGGTTTAGGGTTTAGGGTGTATCGCTGCAGACCTTGTCAGGCTTCGTCCGAGTGCGGGTGTGAAAGAAATCCTAAATGACCCGAAACCCGAAAGCCCAAACCCTAAAAATCGAGGGCTTCGACGTTTCGGGTTTAGTTTGTTTGTTGATGGTTTATGTATCAACTCTTAAAGGGCCAGGGGAGAAATTTCAGGTTCAAGAGCCTAGCTTAAGAGCTCAGATTTTTGAAAGGGCTGTTTAGTGTTTGGGGAATTTGGGGCGTACTTTCATCTCTATAGCCTTCGTTCATTGGAGCCCCTCCGAGTTTTCTATGAGGGTTCATGTGAGGGCCGTACGAAGACCTGGCATGGTAGGCACTAAACCAAACCTTTAGACCCCTACGGTACAACCCCCCCCCCCCAGAACTAGCTTGAACCTAAACCCTGAACCCTAAACCCTAAACACTGAAGGCTGGTGTGTTTTAAAAAAATTAGGACGTGTTTGGCCTGGGGATTTAAGGGTTCCGACCTTCGGGAGTCTGGAAGATCAGTGGCTTCATGTAGGGGCCTTAAGAATTAGAATAGGGTTTTGGGGGTTCCTTATTATAACTGTAGTAACTACAGTATAATTTACCCCAAAGCCTATTCTAATTGTTAAGGCTAGGGGCCTTTATGTTAGGGCTACTTGCTTAGCTTGGCTGGAGGTTTGCCTAAGCCCCACCTGAACCCTAAAGAGTATGTTCCAACTGGGCCGGACCCTATGTTGCACATGCAACGCAAGGGTTTGAGTGCTTAGGGAAAGCTTTGAAAGGTTGGTTGTGTGCATACGTATGGACAGTAGATCCTGATATTTGGTAACAAGCCTGCACGAGCTGAGAATGAGGAGCTGAAAGCAAATGAGCAAGAGACTACCCCCGAACGCCTGCAATCGCATTCACTTACAGGCTTTATCCAGTGCTTGCTACATAGTCCTTGGTGAAGTTGCTCAGAAGAAACCCTTGCGTACTGTCTAGAGACTAGAGGTCTAGGCTCTAGGTACTTCTGGCCCTCTTAAGAGGGACCTTATTGAGAGGGTCGCTATCTCCAAGGGTCCCCCTCATCCTATAACTCCCAATAAAAACATCCCACAAGAAACTCCGAGGCCAGGACCCAGAGAACCCAATACCCTTTAATTACGGAATGTACCTTAAATTTTAGGGGCCTTAATATTATGACTTAAGGTCTAATCTTTAATTAAGGCATATACCTTAAATTATAGGGGCCTTAATGTTATGATTGAAGGTCTATTCTTTAATTAAAGGGCTTTGGGCTCTCTGGGGAATCTAAATGCCGTCCCTAAACCCTTAACCCTGTACCCTAACCCCTGCACCCTAAACCCTAAACCCTACACCCTAAACCCTAAATCCTACACCCTAAACCCTACACCCTAAACCCTATAAGCCCTACACCCTAAACCCTACACATGTTGCGCTCTGGCCTTCCCACCGCAGAACCGCGAGCTTCGAACCCGCTAGGCCTTGAGAGCTGAAGGTATTGAAGGCGCCTTATAGAACACTTAAAGTCCCTTCTTCAAGGGATCGATAGGGTTCCCTAAGCTCTACACCCTAAACCCTAAAACCCTAAATCCCGAAACCTAAACCCCTAAACCCGAAACCCTAAACCCCAAAACCCTAAAGCAATAAACCCTAAACCAAATCCGAAGCCATGGCCGCCGCTGCTTCGAGTACTTGGGCGCCGCGGGCGGCTGCTGCGGCAGAGGCTAAGGGTTCAGGTTTTTAGGGTTTGGAGGGCTTGTAGGGTTTAATATAGGGGCCTGAATTGATCACCTAAACCATTTTTGGGGCGGTTTTTTTTATAGTATGACGGGCCCCAGAACCCTATTCGAATGATTAAGGCCCCTATTCTAGGTTAGTTGGCTGGATTTTGCATTTTGGTGTTAGGGTTCACAGGGCTTAAGGCTTTCAGGGTTTCAGCTAAAGGAGTTGTAATGCTGGTCCTAAGGACTCGTCATTAAGGTTTTGGTGTGATATACCCCAAAGCTCTATTCTAATCATTAAGGCCCCTGTAAGATGGGGATTGTAAAGATTCAGGGATCCCATTCCGAGGTGTAAGAGGGATCTTGCGATACGGGCCAGGCCATTGGGTTTGTAAATTTAGGAAAGCTTGTTTGTAGGTGTTTTAAGAGGTTAACGGTTGAGAGTCAATCTCCCTTGTGGGAACGTTCCTGTGGTAAGGCTACTAGGACGTAGGAGCCTTGCGGCAGCTGTTATTGTAGGGTGTTTTGCTTGAGGCTCAGGGTGTAAGGTTGAGGCAGGGCGGGATCGTGGTTTCATGGGTGCCCAGTAGTTCTGGGTTCTGGAGTACCATACTTGAATATTTTTTGGCGACCTGTTCCTTAAGGGAACCATTATGAAATAGAAGTCTACACTTTTTTCTCCCTGGCTACTTCAAAGTCTAGAGTTCACACTTTGTATATTTACATGTTACCGGCGGGCTTTTCAGGACCCATCTCCCCGAAATAGCCATAAGGCTCTGGCGCCCTAGGCCCGAAATATGAGGCTTGGTGGCATCGCGGTACATGCAGATGAGTTCCCAAGGGTCCTTCCTTTTAAGACGAACTTCATCGAACTTCAACGCAATCCTTATCGGTCTTTAGATGGTAGAAAAAGGTGTTTGCGACTAAAGTGGTGTAGGCAAGTCGTATAACAAGATGGTTTTAGAGGAGTGTTTGAAGGTGACTATAATTTCACTAACAAGCTTTGGTGACGCTGGTGGTTTCGGATCTACTAATATGATTACTTCCGCTTCAGCGGGTTTCGGGGTTGAGATCTATTGTGTTGGTAAGATTGCACGCCATAATGTGTCCCAGGAATGCTTCGCGTGTCGATTTCCAGAGATGGAAGCCTGAAGAACCCTCCCTAAACCCTAAACCTAAACCCTTTTTGAAACCGGACCCTAAACCCTAAACCCTGAAACCCTAAACCCTAAACCCTAAACCCTAAGCCCTGAAACCCTAAGCCCTAAACCCTCTAAAACCTAAACTCAGGTGCAGTGGCAGCACTTTCTGGATCTCTGCGGGCTACTCGCTCGGGTTGGCCTCAATCTGATCCCAGGGATCTTAGCTTTGGGGCTGTGGGTTTAGGGTTGATATAGGGGCCTTACACGAATTACCTATACTATTTTGGGGGCTCCTTATTATCGTTATAGCATAATATACCCCAAAGCCCCATTCGAATGATTAAGGCCCCTAAACCCTAAACCCTTAAAGGGGCCCCAAAACCCTATTCTAACTATTAAAGCCCCTACATTAAAGGGTTTAGGTAAACCTCCGTGCGCTCAGACTTTCAAGCGCTTGAGCAGATCTCCTGATGCAAAACGGTTTTAGGGGTTCAGGGTCGAGGCTTCCCAGAGAGCCCAATACTCCTTGATGAAGGAATATACCTTAAACCATAATATTAAGGCCCCTATAATTTAAGGTGTGTTCCTTAATAAGGGGGTATTGGGTTCTCTGGGTTTAGGGTTTAGGGGTTAAGAGTCCTGGATGCAAAGAAAAGGGTTTTGGATGCACTTCGGAGAGACCTCGTTCAAAAAGGGACGATCGCCAGCAAGGCCTTAAATCCCAAAATCCCTAAGCCCGCTGTGAGGCATCATCTCCCCAGAGACTCCAATATTCCTTAATTAAGGAATATTCCTTAGTTTATAGTAGGATTTTAATATGAGTTAAGGTATTTTTTTTTTAAGAAATTGGATGGAAAAAAGGAAAATTCCTTAAATTATAGTAGGATCCTTAAAGGTATATTCCCTAATTAAGGGATATTGGAGTCTCTGGGTCTTTCTCGGACTGAAACGCACGACCCAACATCATTAGGTTCAGAGGCAAGGGTAAGGGCGGTAATCCGATAGATAGTGTGTGTACCTCCCTATCTTGTTTTCGGCTCAAGAAGTGTGTCACCCCTTCACACTGATTCTTGTTTCGTATCGAACCCTCCATATCCCAAGCTCGGACGATTCTGAAATGGCTCCACTTGCTGCTGCTTTGACCGTGGTTGCAGTGGCAGCCACAGCGGCTACCCCGACTTTGGACATCAATCTGGACGCCGTCCCCGAGGCCTAAACCCTCAACTCTCCAGCCTAAGACCATGGAGGAAAACCCAAAACCCTAGACACAAAACCCTTACAAACCCTAAACCTCAATGGGCCCTCAACCCCTATAAACTCAACCCCCGTAATATAGGGGCCTCAAAAATTACCTAAACTATTTTTGGGGTTCCTAGTTATAATTATAACATACGGGGCCCCAAAACCCTATTCTAATTATGAAAGCCCCTATATTGGAGTTGTGTAATCCCTTTCACTTGGTTCAAGGCCTCGATCAGCAATTGAAACGATCCCTCCACCAGGCGCGCTGGGGAAACGTCACCAAGCACTTCACTAAGGAGATCAGGCCGCTGTGGCGAGGCTCTCGTTTTAAGGAACCTTTTTGAGAAGAGCTTGGGGCTTTGAGGGTTCAGGCTGCCTAGAGGGTGCCTTTAAGGCCTTTAAGGCTTCAATTGGTTTCAGGGCGTGGTCTCGATTCTAGCTTTCCAATAAGATGATGAAAAGCATCCACGCCGTAAAGTTGGTTGGCCCGCCGCAAAGGACCTGCAATGCAGACTATCGCTGGCCTTTCGTTTCAGCGTAGTCTTGTCGCTATGCAAGTAGACATGTTTTCAGCATCATCTAGCGCTTTAGAGGGGATCGAAACTTGCAAACACCTAAACCCTGAAGCTTGCTATCCCAAAGAAGCCACAGACCTTACACCCCAAACCCCGCAAGACGCGCAAACTGTGTGAAAGGCCGTTGCACTTTGAAAACAACCCTATAATTAAAATGGCTTCCACGAGCAGCCCAGGCTGGATCATTGGACCGAGGCCCTTGAAAAGGCACTGACGCCGGAGGAGCGACTTGATTGGGTCATCACGCTCAAGGCTGCTGAAGCGGAGTTCACTGACTACTTCCGGGAGTTGTACGGAATCGTCGGATGGTTTATGAGGCCCTTTGTGTTTTTTTTTGTTTGGCTTGAGCGTCCTGCTATTAAACTCTATGTCCCTCAACCTTTAAATCCTAAACCCCAAACTCTGTAAACCCGGAGCCTAAAATCTATATCCCTAAACCTTTAATAAACCCTAAACCCTAAGCTCTGTAAACCCGGAACCTAAAGAAAAGACTCCTCGGCCAGGCCAGAGGATGATCCGAACTTTCTCCTCAACCAGCTCCTGCTGTTCAATGCCATCTATGAGCTCCCTACTAGCTGAGTTTGCTTAGGGTTTAGGCTTCCTTTACAGGGATCTATAAGACTTCCTTGAAATGGAGCTGAGTTGGCAAAAGTTTAACTATTTTGGTGCAGAGTGGCCCTTTTGAGAACTGAAAGTTGAACGGTTTTCTGGGCCCATGAACCTATAACCTTTACCTGGCCCACCCTAAACCCTGAACCCTAAACCATAAACCCTGACACCCGAAGCCCTGTGTGAAACCCCCCGGAGCGCTAAGGCTCGGTGCCCCAGATACGAGCATCGGGGGCTGCTCGGGCCTGTTGATGGCCGATTCAGACGGAAGGGTCTTCCACGGACGCAACATGGACTATGTCTTCCAGTTACTTACTAGAAGTACGTGCTATAAGGGTTCGATAAGGGTTTGGGGTTAAGGGTCTCCCTCTGGGCGGCCCTTTTTACTTATTTTTTCTGGTCTTTGCTTGATTACAAAAAAAACTAACTTAATACCAAAAGGGATCCTTTTCTGATTCTTAGATTATCGGGGCTCCTAGGTTTAGGATGCCAGATGGTCGAATCTTCGACCTCCCGGATGTCACCTTCACAGCGACTAGGCAGGCCTTTGGGGACATTTTGTATTTCCCCTTTAGGGATTATAGGGTTTGTGAAAAAGGGTTTAGGCTTTAGGGATCTCGTGTTGCGGATGTTTGCAAGGGGCTTCACAGGGCCAGCCTAGGCGAGATATTGGAAGGATGGCAAAGTGTTGATGCTGGCTCCATCATTCCTAGGGTGGGTTGGCATCCACACGGGCATGCGCATGGACGGCTGGACATTTGAGCAGAACATGCGTTATCCCCTAGACCGGGCTAAAAGCCTACAAGCTTTGAAGGCTGGGAACCTCCGGGCGCAGTAGCAACCTTTTGCTCTGTCTCTGGAAACTCATGTTTCGTGTTTCCTTCACACCGCTGAGTATATCCTACCCTGAAGCCTAAACCCCCAAGCCCGCAACCCCCATAATTACCCCAAAACTCTCCCAGTATTGCTGAGATTCTGGGGCACCTAGGAAGGGAGATCTCTATGGTTGGAGGGTGAGAGAGATCATGGAGACCAACCCGACGTTTCAGGGCGCCCTGACGAGCCTCACGAACACAAGGGTTATGGCACCCATGTACTTCATCCTCTCTGGCAAGGGCAGGTATGAGGGCGCAGTCATTACCAAGGATCTCGGCGACGAGCAATTGGCAGACACTCCACAGGTCAGGCAGTTGAATGAGTTTGGCACGTGGTATCTTCTGCAGACCAACGACGACGTCAATAAGTTGCCGGGGGATTCGCGACGACCCACAACGAAGCTGATGCTTGCCTCTGTGAACCAGACTCAGGTGGACCAAGCCTTCGTTTGGAAGCTCATCCGTAGCCAAACACTCGTGGTCCCCGAGACGGTGTTTACCTGGGTTGCCGACTCCTCGACTGGCTACAGCGAGGTGATCACGAGAAACTTGATTGCAAATCTTCAACACTGGGCCTCAAGCTCTCGCATCATTCTAAGCCCTAAGCCGTGAACCGTTCGCAAAGTTTCAATGCAAGTTTCAATGCGACTTTCTTTGAGTAGAAAAGAAGTAAGGAAATGAGGCGGATGCAGCCTCACACTTGCAGCTTGCTGCTGCACCAGCAGGTCCCAAGCGAGTGGCGGGACAGAAGATCGGCCACACCAAATGGGCGCGGAAAGCGCTGCTGGCATCCGAGAGCAGCTTCTTTTGATGTTCTTAATTCCTTTCGTTAACCACGTCCATCAACTGCGTGATAGGCGTGGTGCAGATGTTTCGGACTTGCGAGCCTGCGATGCAAAAAAAACATATGTTCAAAGAGTAATCGGAATACTTTGTGTAGTCCCCAAGCCCAACACCCTATTCCGATTATTCAGGCCCCTGCATCAGAAATTTCGTTGAAGCTCAAGGAGTCGGTTTAAAGCGGCGCCCCGTAGCCGAAGGAAGACGGGTTTTCGATTTTCCGTTGTTTCGGGCAGTCACATGCCGCAATGCACCGCTGTGGCTGCCACTGCTGCTACTCCTATGTACGGCTACTGCCATAGTACTGCTACTCCGACTCCTCCTCCTACTCCCACTACGACCTCCGCCTCCTGCTCCTACTGCTACTGCAGCTGCTACTGCT